GGTTTGGCTGTGGCAAAGTCCACACAGAAAACCAAGTGTAGCATAATTAAGATCATTAGCTATACACAGCTCGAAGATGTAAAATCTGTTTCCTAGCTATGTCTGTTGATTTAGAATGACAAAGCACCTGCTAATGCAGCGGAAAACTGCTCAACATGGAGGTCTCTGCAAATGGAAAAATTAAGTTTTATCCCTCCATCAACTCTTTGTCTTCACTTTGTCAGTATTTTTGTGACAGCAGTTCTTCTTGAGAATAAGAACAGACTTGCTGTCACAGTCTATGTTGTTCATTGTATTTCAGAAATTAAATGTTCATATTAAATTATAGTTCAAACAGATGAAGGAAAAAGTTATTTGTCCTTTATTTTGCTTTGATCTGCAGGATAGCCTAGCCTCACAGCCCTTGTTTTCTAATAGAAAATCCAGTCTGTTTAGGTATGAATGATATTTGTATTCTAATGTTAATGTTAAAGTCCTAATCTTTAAATCTAGATTAAAGAAAATAACCAGATGAGAAATAATTAAAACTATAAAAGATTGGCATCTCATAAGATCTGCATGGACCAGATGCATGATACATGCAAAAGGGTGAGAAGTTTTAACATCTTGATCACCTTCTAGAATTTGCCGTTATCTCAATGTCACTCACCAAGTCATTTAACCTCTCCCCCCCCACATTGTTCCTAATCACATTAAGAATGATCTAGATCATAAAATTATTCCATGCCTTAATTAGAAGTTTGAAAAGAATGAAGCCTCTAGAGTAAACGGTAACATGGTCAAAACTTGCAAAAATAGGTTGTTGTCGCGCATGTATCTCAGCTGCTAAAGGTGGTTTGATTTTGCAGAAGTTTCTCACCCATTTCCATCACTGTCCTACTTCCTCAAAACCATGATGGTTTTTTATTTGTTTGCTATAATATCCAGGCAGGACAAGGAGAGCTCCTGAAGGGTGTTGAAGCCTCTCTTTAGAGAGGCAAAGGTGGGTCTAGAGGCACCTTGGGACAGTTGCAATTACCTCTCTCCCAGCTGAAGAGAATGAGACATTCCAACCATTGTAGATGCCTTTAAAATCATAACTTTTAATCACTTAACCTCTTCTCCCTGTTTAAAAAAAATGTTTCTGTATCAGAGTGTGAAAATACTTTTTTTCAACCATATTTTTTGGGGGAGGAAGGGGAATAAAATTCACCAAATATTTTCACAAGCACCTTGTCAGTATATCAGTATTTCACAGAATAAAAAAATATCCCTGTTTGCTTGTGCCCTTCACAGAAATGGTGTTTTCTCCATATATGAAATTCCAGAAAAAACCTCCTGGTTCAAAATGCAAGATTGACAAAGAGGTTTCTGAATCTCTTTCTGGCTTGCTGCGATGGCCATGGAGATACTGGCATATGGGTTGCAAATAGCAGATCTTGAGAACATAATGTTTTGTAGAGACATAGGGTACCTCCTAGGAGAGGTGGGGTTTCAATCCAGAGCCTTGTCTGAGCTGCAGACATGTAGCATTCTGCTTGTCCAACATCTCTGTTATAGTTTTTTCTTTCCTTTTTTTATCATATAACATGGCTTGATGGTGCTTAATGGAAGCCATGTCCTTTTCACAAGAAGTCCTGTCACTTTGATGGTGTAAAATGCAACATTATCCAAATCCAAACTTCTCTACAGAACTTTGTATACAATTAATGTTTAATCCCCAATAAAGAATCATAAATTCTTAGAGATAAATCGCTTCCTTCATTAATGCCTTGATTTTAAAGGCCGCATTAATTCTTTGGGAGGAAAAAAAGTTGTCTTTAACAAGCCTGCCAAGTCAGTAGTTCTGGGGTTTTGAGGAGGCAGACAATTTGCTCACAGCAATATTCCTGGTAGCAAGAAAATGAGCAGCCTTGTCTTTCTGACTTTGTCTTTGGTATTTATCTATTCATGCATGAGTCAAGAGGGGTTTAGTGGGGTTGGATAGGTTCATTAAGGGTGGATGAATTCAGCTGTATGTTTGAAATATGTTAATTGCTTGCCCATCTAGTCACTATTATTTCTGACTCTCCCCTGACTCCACCAGACTCCAGGAATGTCTTTGCTGCCTTTTCCTTGCTGATGCTTCCTGCTATAATTTCTTTCTTCTTGCCCTGTACCGTTGGTTCCTCTCAATCTGTGTTTAACTCTTTGATCCCTGTCTGCATCTGTTCCCTCCCTTCCCTTTTCTTCTAGCACTTCACTTTTTGTCCATTGAATTCTTGCTCTCCCCAGCCCCTTGCTCTGTGGACACAGGAGCACATATACTGCACAGGATAGTGCAGACTGCTTGGCATCTCCCTCCTGCCTTCCCGGCAGATCCGCCCTCATGCTCCCCCACCATTGCCTGGGGGCTCTTCCCAGCACCATCAATTTCATGCCATGGCCTCATATAAAATTCGATGTGAAAAAGCGCCCTGTCAGTGCCAAGGGTTGACATGTGAGCAAATGCTGTAGACGAGGTTTAGCTTATTTCATGCTTTAATGAGAAATATTGTTAAGGAGATCTGGAACTGGGTTTTATGAGTATCTTGGAGCTCCTGAAAAAAATGTCATTTAAACCCACAGAGGCTGTTTCCAAGCACTGAACCGCGTGGCTGCCCTGATAAGTGAAGAAAGAAACCCAGCAACACAGTGAAGGCAGCTGAAATAGAGGCGTTTCCCAAACCTGCCTTTATTGCATAAAGGGAAATAAAGGCATTTCCTTTATTTTGTTGCCTGAGAACAACAATGAAATCCAGATTGGGATGAGATTTCTCTGTGTTTTTATAATATTGTAAATGCTGGGAGGGTTGTATGATCAGTAAATGACCGATATGAATATGCTGCTTTTAATGGCATTTAACTGAAGGCAAAAAGCTTGTTCAAGACACAGCTAGAGTGAAGTGCAGTGTTGAAAGCTTAAGCAGTTGGGGTTTAACGGGCTCATGAAATATAGCTGGGAGCAGTCCTGTATGTTTCTGAGCACCCTGGTCTGCAACCAAAGCTGATAAGCACTGAGAGGTCTTAGGGCTTTGCAGTAAAAGGGTTTTATTGCAGTTCTGGTCTGGCTGTCCCAAGCATGAGGGTCAGGATGAAAATTTTGTTTGGTGAACCAAATGACTGGGACTGTTGATAATAGGAAAGGAAACAATATGTCTTAAAAAACAGTTTGAGCGGTTTGATTGCACAAGCCATTAGAATGAGTTGCGTGGACTCTGAATTGGAGTCCATGATGCTGTGACATGCCATGGTAGATAATACACAAAGCAGAAAACAGTGAATCATTCCCATAGTTAAGAGTGGTGTGAATGTGGTCAGAGTCTGTCTTTTTTAGCAGAAATGAGGCAAAATGTTCTTGGTTCAGGGCGTCACAAGCTGTCAAACATCCGCCGGAACAGTTTGCTAAAGTCTCTTTGCATCCATTCCTAAACTTCCCGTCACCATTTCCCTATCACTGCTGGCTAAAAAGGCATTTCTGGGTAAACAGGTGCTTGCTTTCCAAAGCAGCAGCCTCTTCCTTTTGCTTATCCACAGGCTTAATGATTCATTCAGTTGTTTTGCAACTCAGGAACCTTTGGTTGAGCCACTTGGTTGTGTCATTGAAGTTCATGACTTAGAGAAGAGGCTGGTCAGGAAAGGAAATGCTTCTGTTTATCCACAAGCAGTTGTGGGGAGTGAATCAGAGAAAGTCTGTGGTAGCTAAATGAGGCTGTGGTCAAACATTAACACCTTCAGGGCGGGCTGGAGTGTGGTTGGGTTTGCTTAGCATGCTCCCAAGCGTTGTTCACAGAGAGCTATGTAGTAGAGCAGAATAATCTATTGATGGGTGGGAAATAATAAAGGAAAGCTTCCTGCCTCTTTGTTTTGTATAAATAAAATACGAACCTTCAGGTGGTGGATCCTTCAGTTGTGATCTGGTTAGCCAAGTCCTTGTCTCTGATCACTCTTGGACAAAGTGGGTGCTTTAGGAAGAGGTTTTGGTGAAGAGGAACAAAGATGTGCTGTTCCTCATCAGGCCAATGCTCTGTCTGGTCCAGTACCTCACCGCTGCACCATTAACAAGCACCAGAACATGAGAATGGTCTTAGTATGCCACAACAAAGGTTTGTCCAGACCAGCATTGTCTAAATGATGCTTGAATGCTTGGAAAACAGTGTGAGAACAGCAAAAAGAAAGTGTATATAGCACAGACTGTAACATTTTCCTGGCCTTTTCTCAGTCAGGTCCAGATGCTTTGGAGGAAGCGGTGAAAGTGCAAGAAATAATACACTGTTATGGAATAATCGAATGGAGGAGAGGCACTGCCCACTCTAGGCAATTAGTGGCTGGCTGCTGTGATGAAGTTTCTTTATTTGTGTAATCCTCTCTGGGGTAACCATAGGGAGGCTGTTTGGACTTGTGATTTAACCCAGTCCTTTGGCTTTAGCGGTTACACACAGCAGTTTGTGTTGTGGAATAACTCAATACGCATAGAGAAGGTCTGACGCTGCTTCCCTGTCTGAGTCAGGGTTGAGCCAAGGGTCAGAGATGCTCTGGGCTGTCAGTGAGGACCGAAGTGGAGGCCCTGACCTCTTGTGGTCACTGAGGAACCGGGAGTGCTCTTGGCACTGGTGTGTCACTGAGTCCTAGGGCATTTGTGCTGCTCCTCCAAAAACCTCAGGAAGGGAAAAGGTCCATCATCATTAAATCAGCACGGACCATGGTCAATGCCTTTGTGTGCAGAAATGGTACTTTCTGATCTTCCAGCTTTGCTCATACCTCTGCTGGGACTATGGTCCTTTATTAAAAGTGTAGTATTTGGTAAGCCTTTAGTGCTTTGTGTCAGTGTGAATGTCTGCGTATGTTTGTAAAGGCAAAGATGCTCGTAATGCCATTACTGTGGTTAATAAGAGCAACTTCCAAAAGGCACAAGAAGAACTTTATTCAATGATACATTTCAGTTAACGGCTTCCAAACAAAAGGCATCACTTAAAACCAGGGTTTTTCTTTTCTTCTTTCAGGGGTGCATTCTCTGAAGTTGTTTTGGCTGAAGAGAGAGCAAGTGGGAAACTCTTTGCAGTCAAGTGCATTCCCAAGAAAGCACTGAAGGGAAAGGAAAGCAGCATAGAGAATGAAATTGCAGTCCTGAGAAAGTAAGTATCAGACTTTCATTTCTGCTTCTTCATTTCAGTGAGCCTGTTGGATTTAAGGAGCAGGAACAGTGATTGACAAGTGTGACTGGCAGGTTGCTCAGCGCATCACACGAAGACGAGATTGAAGCTGAAAATATAATGGAAAATGCTATGGTTATCTTTTGTATTAATGCATCCAGATGACTGTAGAGTGGGAAAGAAGAGGATTTAGGCTTGAATAAAGCCTATGATTCCATAAAAAGACCTTATCCACTGCACTTCACAGCAGCTGGGTCACTGGCTTTGAGGAGAGCAAGAGCAGGGTTATAATCTCTAAGTACTTAAAACAGTCTCTGTACAAATTGCTCTAAAACTATGGCCTGCTATGGGTTGTTATAGGAGATATATAGGTGGTAACCTGTAACATGGAGAGGAATCTCTGTCACTTCTGGAAGGAGGACTTATCCTTGAAGGATTGTCCACGGTGTGTATTTTTCCCTGACCATGTTTGGAATACCTGGATAAGGAAAAGTCAGCTCACAATTCCGCTGACTATGCATTCAGTGAAGTCATTAGGAGCTTGATCCTTACCTCTTCTCCATCTTACGCCCTAAAGGAGGGATTCATCTCACCTTACCTGAGATACCTGGATCTGAACTCGCCACCCTTGACTTTGTTTCCAAGAAATGGAAAGAGATTGGTTGCATTAGGCTTGGTCCATGTAACTTGTTTTAAACTTCTAAAAGTACCCTCTTTTCTGATTGAATTGAAGGTAGTACAATGATACAGAAGTTCATGATGGACTGGAGCATTCTGATTCTTGCTGCACTGTAGTGGGACTTCTTGGCCCAGCTCTTGGTCATGTAGGAGCTGATGGCACCATGTGACAAAACTGGCCTTAAATCTTTAACTAGATATATCTGAACTAAGTGCTCAGGCAGCCTAAGCTAAAGGAACAGGTTCAGGGGCAAACTCAGCCACCTCAGTAGGCAAAGGGGATCCTTTTCAGTGGAGGGACATAAGTGGGGCTCCAAACAGCTACAAGCATTTGTTGTAGTTGCTTGCTCATTGCTGAACTTGTACAACGTAAGCCCAGTGATAAATGCAGCATGTTGACTTGGTGTGTGGTGTTAATGTGAACCTCTCATAAAGCTCAACTGTTGCCATTGCCATTGCCAGGTAATAATGGCCAATAACTGACAGCTTGAAACAACCTTTGTTCCCTGATACTCATGTGTGGGTATAAGCACAGCAATATTGGCATGCAGTAAGGATTCCTACAGTTAGATCTACTTGGTCTCTTATCCTATGCACATTGTGACCAAAAGAGAGATTTATCCTTTTTTATCTCCTGATGTCTTCTACTTAGTTGTTGCTAATACAAACTTTGCAGGTGATTGTATTTATTCTGAAAATAGGCATCTTTGCTAGTAGACATAGTGTTGAATGTGTATGTGCCACCAAGGAAACACTTAGAAAATAACTGCCTACAGTTGAGGAGGGGGGGATATCAACCTGTTTCTCTGTTTGATGAATTCTCTGCTTCAAAAGCTGTCAGTAAAAATAGATTTTGGAGAGGTGGAGTGGATCCTGAGTGGCTGTTGCTAAGCTCCAAAGGTATCGAAGAGTCCTTGCTTTTGCTTCTTGTAGTTTAATACTGAGCGGGGGTTGCTAGTTTATGTGTGGTCTAAGTAGTGGGTAGGATGCCAGAGCCCTAGGCTGCTCTGTGTGGCTGTGAAGTGCTGCAGCCTTGAACTTACTGCCAGTTTTGAAGGCAATGTGCATAGAGGATGCCTGGCAGTAGGAATAGGTCCCTGTTCCCTGAGAGGAAGGTGTAGAGACACAGAGGATGTATGCAAAGCAAATACAAATATGCACGTCTGTTGATCCTCCTCTCACTTTATGGTACTGCATTATGGTGAGTGCTTAAACTCTAAAGGGGTAAAAGTCCCAAAGTACACCAAGCAAACTCCTTGTGATCCTTCAAGGAAGGATCTCTTGTCTGCCACTGGACTTTCTCCTCCTAAATTCTGTCATTAGGTTTTTGTCTTCCTGCTGATGAGGTACTGACTTTCTGGCAGATACCTGCCAAATGCTGTGAAATGCAGCTCTTCAGGTTCCTCTGGTTCTGGAGTGTGGAATCTTGAACATACTCTCTGCAGCTTTGCCAGCTCTCAAGTGAGCTGCTTGTGCCCCTGTGTGTCTTGAGCAGGTTTTTAGGGACAGTCAGGGATTGTATTGGCCATGACTAGGACTGGTACACACAAGTATCACATATGCTTTGTCCACCAAGGCTGCCTTGGTGGAGGTTTGTCCCCTTCCAGTCCTGCCAAACCGTCCAGATCTGGCAGAACCAATATGGAAAAGGGTTTAAATCACGTTGTGTGTCGCAGTCATATTTTAAATTATGGTTTTTAAAGTCAGAACTAAAGGTTTATGCATGGAGTACTGTAGGAGTAGCACCTGATGATGAAAACATGAATGAAATGATCCTTGATCCCCTCTCACTTCTGCCACTGGCTTCCTGGGTGAACTTCTGTCACAGCAGTTACTGTCTGTTTTAATATTTATTGTCTGTGAAGCAGCCTTCACACTGCTTTCAAATAAAAAGACTCCTGAATGAAAAGTCTTACCTGCAGTTCATTTTGAGGTCATTTCTTGTGCCAGCAAACTCAGGAGAGTGCGTGCAAGAAGGGAGATCTCTGGGCTGAGCTTTCAGTGTGAAATGATTGTCAGTCCTTCTGTGTGTCTCAACTAAAAAGCTGTTTGAGCTATTAATCCAATGTTCTGTGTTGGGGAAGGTCAGCAGTCCCCATGCACAGTACATGGAAGGTAGGAGATTTTATCTCTGTGTCTGTGGGCTTGGATGCTCTTGCTGCCAAAACAAAATGACACATTTTAGAAGCGATGTTCTGCTAACAGAGGAGCGAGCTGCCAGCCAACTGATCTGCATGTTTGTGTGAGTGCCAGAGTGAATCACTGCATACTCCATCATTTTATTTTTCCAGCCGTGGCCAACAAATCTGTTCTTAAAAAAGAAAAAAGGCGGAAGAGCCGTTAAGTCAATATTTACGCCTAGCAACCTTAACAGGGTTCTTCCAATATGGACTCTTTTGTGTCCCGTGGAAATCCATGGCAACATTCCCCAAAGACTCGCATGGGTGGGGGTGGAGTGGAAGGAGCTCATTGTTGAGAGCAGTGCTGGAAGAGACTAAATCTGCAGCCAAACCTGGAACCTTGAGCCTGACAATGTGCTTAAGCACATGCCTAATTTTAGATGGTTACTCGTTCCAGTAGGTCGAGCTCACCTTGCTGAACTCAGGCCTAAAGGGATGCTTCAGAGCAGAAAGTCCCACTAGGCACCTGTGTTTGGTACCACATCAGGAGGGCAGTTTCCTTAATGTCTTTGATTAGAGCCCAGATGATGTGCTAGTGCACAAGGGTTGCTCTTTCTTCTAGTTGTGTGCTAGCTGCCTGTAGCTGAACACAGAGCAAAATACTACATCTCATCATAAAAGCAGGTGGAGAAGCTGAGCTGCAGCATTTTTAGGCATTGAAATTTATTTCTTTTGCAGTGGAAAACATGCTATGGTTTAAGATCTCTGAGGAAGAAAACTGGGTCTCTAGGACAAGGCTATTGCAGCTCTAATAAGTAACTGGCTGTGGGGAGTAACAGCACATGGTCACCTTCCTGTGACACAAACCTGACCTGAGAAGCAGGGAGTTTCATAACCTGCTCTGAAAGCCATTCTTTTCTGGCTTTAAGCAGAAAGGTAAATGCAATCCTTTCCATTGTTTGCTGTACAGTAGAGGAAATTTCTTCCACTTAACTGTAATTGTGCAAGTGTGAACATGCTGAAAGATGAATTGTCTGTTAGAGGGGTTCCTGAAGGCAGTAGGTGATGTGAAGAGTTGGGCTGCAGAGAAGCAGCAAGCTGAGGTTCTAGTTAAATAGAAAGAAGACAATAAAACAACCTTACAAGAGTCAGACAGGGAAAAATACACCTCATCTGTTTGTTGTTGTTTTTCTTGGCTACACCACTGTTTATCACAAGAAACTTTCTAGCTGCCTGGGTAATACCTGCACAATCATATGGATTCAGTGCTGAGTCAGAGCAAAGCAAAGGAGGAACGATGAACTGTGTGTAGCCCTGCACCCAGGTGTATTGATTACTTAATAGCAGTAACATGCACAAGTGCCTTGTTAAGCAAATACTGTTCAGCTTGCAGATCATATGCTGCTTTAGCTAGTTTCTCCTGAACAGGGATTTTAAACATCATTTCATAACTAGTTAGTTATATCCTGCCTTTACCTCTCATCTTTATTCTCCCAGATCCTATGGGAGAAGCACCATTCAATTCCTTATTACAAATCATAGCTGTGCTAATTGCAGAGTGAAGCCTTTTGTTAAACATGATGGAACTGTTTCTAGCAAGACGGATAGAATTCTGCTGGTGCTTTCCCTTCCCATTTCCTTGGAAGAGGAAGGGGGGGCACTGGGAGCACCCAGGCAGTGATTCATGCCTGGGTGGCTGCCTGGCTCCTTGTATGCCTGCACCTACAGCCAGGATCTGCTGCTATAATAAGGAGCAGGAAGAGAGAAGGGGTGACATCTTCCTGCAAAGTCTGGAAGGTCAGGGCTATACCCACCTCAAAACTAAACATAAAAGAGCAGTGAAAAGTGTTCCTGAAGCAGGTGAAATTGTGGGAATTCATGCTCTCCGATACATCAAATGACGGCCAGATACCCCCTTGCTCCATCCCACGGGTAGCACCATTCCTGGCATTAAAAAGGAACACCCTTCATGACAAATACGGAAAAATCACCTCTCCTCAAGATCGGCATGAAGGATAAAAGGGTCATTTAGAACATTGTACCTTTCTGCTCCTTTTCAGTAGCCCATTGACAGACTCCCCCTAAAACCTTTCTGTCCCAGATTCTTGTCTTCGTAAGGCTTCATCCCTGTGGGGCTAACCTGGTAGCTTCTAGGAAGATTAATCCATATTTAGTTTTGAAACC